TTCAACAAGAAATGTAAATTTGACTGGTTAAAAATTACACAGGGGTGTCTTCCCCCAGGGGAGAAATCACAGAAAAAATAACTGATATTTTGGTAAGTCATGTGATTTTGGGTCCTTGGACAGGCAGGGTTGAAAACATACTGACTATGGAAGAGTGGTATTCCCTACTGTGATGGGCTCTGGCTTTGCATCACCCCTGCAGCTCTGTATTCTTTTTGTCACAGACATGAAATGCAGAATTAAATTAGTTATTCTTTGGCTTTCCTTTTCCCCTGAAATTCAGCAAGATTTTGAAATCCCTCCACCTAACGCTCTTGTCTCTTTGCATGAAACACTCCTAATTGCTGATTATACTTTTTGAATATAACCTTCACTGAACATCCATTCAAAGAAGACAGATGGATGCTGCTGCTGGACAGAGCTGTGCTTTTCTGCTTTGGTGTTCAGATTGAGATCATCCAACTCAGCATGCAGATGCTTTAAGGTGGCCACTTACTCATCCTGCCAGAAGAGTTTGATGCAATGGCTATTCAATTATTATTTATCTTCCATTAAAAGTTTTAGTTGTAAGCTTTTAAGTCTGCAAGGTCAAACTTTCAGAAGAAAAGAGATTCCCAAGCTAAGGCAGGATAACCCTTCTGGCCTTGTACGCCTATGCACTATGACAGATTTTAATTAGAGGATCACATGCAATTTTTGCAAAGGATCCCCTGATCGTGCAGTGCACAGGGTTCGACATTACATAACATTTTCCAAAGAACTCTAATCCATAAAAATCCGTCACGGAAAACTTACTTAGTGTTGATATTTGGCAATTAGAGAGCTGAGTACAGAGCTTGTGGACTAGAAAATGTCAGGCAGTGATGCTTTCTGCAGTGCTTCTAACTTTGGAAATTTCTGACTGTAATTACCATCAAGTGTAAGTACTTTTTTGTGCTGGGTTGGCAGAAATATGTAATGATGGCTTACAACATAGATTAGTTACAAACACAACAGGTCATGTAATTAGCCTCAGTGGCATAATAAAACATGGCTGCATAGCAGCCATCAACCCCTTCCACGCTGGCTGGCTCTGGATTGAAATAAACTGTAGGGTGAATATGGGACTGTTCATGAACAGCACATGGATTCTCTCCCTGGTGCCTGCCTCACATGTGAAGACCACTCTCAGCCCCCAGGGACAGAGCACCAGCATGGCTGAGAGTGAGACACAGGTGCTTAGGAGCACTTAAGTTCCTGCCTGCTTGAGTGGACGGTCCAGCCCTTTAAAGACCCCTATTTAATCCATCCCAGGATTCCACATCGTGTGAGAACATCTATGTTTTAATGACAAAGTGAGTAATAGTCTCCAGTGCTTTGTTGGGAAAGCCTTCATGAATCCACAGTATCATTGCAGAGCAGGACACAGAGAGAAAACGGTAGCATCCTCCCACCCCTACTAACACCATGGGCTCTGCTGCCAGGAGAAGAACATTTCCAATTCAGTTGTTTGCCTTGTGGCAAAGCTGAGATTCTCATTCAGGACATTTAAAAGCCATAAATCAAAGCATCCACAGCAGAACTAAAATTGGTCAAGATCATAGAATTGTTTAGGTGGGAAAAGACCTTTAAGACCATCAAGTCCAGCTGTTAACCTAGCACTGCCAAGTCCACCACAATATAAGCCAATTAACTGCAAAAGTTATTTAAGAAAACAAAAGTTGTCAATTAAGATAACATAAAATTAAATCTAGCAACGCTATCTGTTTAGAGATAACATGTCTTATGAAAGTCTAATACTTAATTATGGAAAATGAAATAAGCATGAACATTACAATTGAACAGTATTCCCCTCTGATACGTTCACAGAACTGAGTACTAAAAAGGATCTTATTAATCCATGGAAATTATATATAGGTCAACTTAAAACAAACAAACAAAAAATCCAAACCAAACAGAAAGAACAGAAGGCCAAATCTTAATTTAAATACACATTCAGGCATTTGCATCAGCGAAGATCAGGCTTTCCAAACAGGCAGGCAAACATACATCATGGTAAGCTAAAGTGGCTCTATTGCCTGCTTAAAGCCATCTTACCGAAGCGAGTGCACAGCTGCATTTTCTTTCAAAATACTACTGCAGCCTTTTAAGAGAGAGGGGGAATAATCTAAATTCTGGCAGCAGGGAATATTTCACAAATCATATATGCTTTGGCATCAAGCCCTTAAAGCCAGGGGCCTTTACTCACAGGCTTTGCTGGGAGAGATCCACCCACCTCAAGTGGGATTAATTAAAAGAGGCATGTATCATGCAAATAGTTTCTGTTTCCTCACAGAAGTATTCAGAGCACATAACCCAAAACAGCTTTAGAATCAGAGTGAAGCAAGGAAGAAAATTATTTCCTGCTCCCCTAACCATTTTCCTTTCCTCGTGCAGTAAGCAAGAAACAATGAGAAAATGCCGAGAGCTCACCAGTTCTTTTGATTAAATGCTAATGGAACTGAGGAACAAAAAGGATTTGTTTAAAGGCAGGCTGTATCCCACTATAAGGTGCCCAATTCTCCAAATCAGACATGTGCTCAGCCACTGGCGGGAAAAGGACAGTCTAAGTTTTACTCCTGAAAATGATCTTTTTATCTTAAGGCAGAACAGGAAAAAATAGAAAGCTCATATTTCTTCAGCATGTCAGGATTTTCAGCTCCACATGACAGTGACGGGGGCTGCAATAAAAAGCTAGATGAACTTTAAAAATACAACTGTCTTCTCAGGGAGTTAAACTGCTTCCCTAGATATGAGAGATCTGACACTTCAAGGAATCATTGCAGAAAATGGTGCTACAGCAGTCAGAGCATAGAGCCCCAGTTCAAAAAAAAGTCACAGAGAAAGCTCAGGTTTCCAGAAGAACTCTTTCTCAAAACTACTTTTTTTTTCCTTTTTAATATTTCAGACCCATTTTCTGACTCAAGTTCCTATGATCCTGCAAAGGCTGTTATTAAAACCAGACCAAGCGTAGCAGAAATTCCAGGGCTCAAAAGAAACATTTAATAGGCACAGGAGCCGGCCACACTGTCCCCCTCAGGTGATTTCCCCTGCAGCCCTTTCCCTGGGATTTCCTCTCTTGGAGTTTAGTCAGCAGGAGAAACCTGAAGTTTCAGCAAAACGGCAAACCCTTCCTTCATTCTTAAGCAGCTGAGATTTTTTTTTTATGTCTGAAGCTTTCATAGCTGCAAAAAAGAGAACTAGGATCCACTCCAGAAGATGTGTATTGCAGATATTTTTTTCCACAAAAATGTCAAGCAGTCATACATTCAATCATATATCCAGCTACAGCAGTTTAAAAACACTGACCTCCTTTATCAGCCACTGCTTTGCGTGCCACCAGTGGCAGTCCCAAACTGAGTTGTTTTCAGGCTGCTTACCCAAGAGTGGTTTGTGAGCTAGAAGATGCCTTTCTGGTCTCCATCCCACCTATCACTTTAGCTTCAGAAGATTATCCCCAGACATCCCCTTGGCAAACCAGTTCAGAAAGGCATTGTTCATGCAAAATCACAGCCAGGCAGGACAAAGGAGACATGCTCATTTGCAAGGCAGGTGAGACAGACCAAGGGAGCTATGGTTCTCTCCAGTAGTACAACTGACAAAACACTGGACCTCATTTTCTGTATCTAGTCTGTGATCTATCCTGTGATGGCACAGGGGAAACACCGGTGCCAGTGCCCTTCAGCTCAGTCTGAGACTCTCCCAACAAGGGGATGCTGCTTGGACTTCTTCCCTTCCAGTGCAAAGTTTAGTACCCAGAAGGGCAATTCTAGGTTTCTCCCCAGCAGTAATACTGCAAGCTGTTGTATATCCACTAAGATCGAAGAGTGTGTTTTGTGCAACAGTGGCCTTTTCATAGCAAATATATAACAATACTTCATGTGTTTGGTATACCTAATTTATCTATTTTTCATATTATAAAGAGAAATTACATTAAAACCACTGAACCTCAAATTTAAGTTACTGATAGCTACAACAGATCTCACCTATTTAAAAGAAAGATTTTCTCAAAGGGTTCTCATCTCATTTACCATTTCTAAAATGGAAAATGTGCACATTTTGTTTCTATTTAACTAGCCTTGTCTTTTTTTTTAACTGTGACTAATTTTACTGTAAGAGTTGATTTATTAAAAATGGAGAAAATCCTTTGTTCCATCATCGCCTATTCTGTCCATGCCTCTCATAATTTAAGAAGTTACCAAACCCTCAGAAACAGGCTTTCACATATATATATGTGTGTGTGTATATATGTATGTATGTGTGTATATATGTGTGTATTATGTCATTGTGAAAATATTAAGCACGTTTTATTTATAAAAAGCAGTTACTGCCACACAAAATTATAAAATATGCAAAGCCACTTTTAAAAGTACTGATAAATGCAAAGCCCTGGGGGGAAAAGGAAATGATGTGGTTATGAAAATCCTATTCCTTAACTACTTGGTTAGTACCATATGATCTATACTGTTAGACAACTATGGACTGCTTTCAACTGGCTGTAAATTACTTGCCTGGTGGAATAAGAATCAGATTCCTATCAGTTTGTTCCACAGTCGTACAAGGACTGTTCTTGTTCTCTCCCAGAAAAGCCATTACCTCCTCTGGTGAAGACTCAGAATGGCAGAACTGAGTTGTTGTACCGCTGCCATTCTTCTGGCGGAGTGGTAGGTGACCTGTCCCTGCATGAACCCCTACATGGGTATTACACAACCAGAACAGGGGCTCTTAATATAACAAAATCTAGCGTCTTCAAACTGAGTGATGGGAATGTCTTTTTTTTTCCTCCTTCATGAAAAAACTTACTCTCTTGAAAAAAAAATATCGTATTTGTTCTAAAAATTGTTTCCTCAAAATGCCCAGTTTTGCTTTCTTATAAGACTTGCTCAACAAACAGTGCTCAACTTTCCAACACAATGCAGAATCTGTCTGTTATGCTAGAGCGAGAGAACCATGCCCATCACCAGGAAGATTACATATCTTACCTTGGGACACTGGGAGGAGCCCGGGTTGGTCGAGAGGGAACCTGGGGAGGTCCACCAAGAGCTTCACCACCACTTGGAAACTGAGGCAATGGTCCTGGGCGGAACGGGACTGGGGGAGCCCCTGACTGAGGGCCTGGAGATGGGATTGCAGGAGCAGGTCCTCGGCCAGATAAAGGTCTGGTTGGGGGGTTGCTTAATGTAGGCCTCCTTTGAGTTGAGGGACTTGGAGGAGGTGATCTAGTGAAATATCAGAAATTTTAAAAGTTCAGTAAGGTAATGTTTTTTTTTTTTGTTTGGTTGATTTTTTATTTTTTTTAAATTATTTTTAAACATAAAGCCTTTTTTATGCCTATGACAATTCTTTATCTTGGCATTTTCCTTTGTTGTTGGTGACAGAGCATCACATATGTTTAAGTCTCATACCTTTCCCACAGACAGCATGCTTTACAGTAGTCAGAAATAAACATGAGCAAAGAATCATAGAATAGTTGGAAAGGACCTGCAGATCATCTAGTTCCAACCCCCCTGCCATGGGCAGGGACACCTCACACTAAACCATGTCACCCAAGGCTCTGCCCAGCCCAGCCTTGAGCACTGCCAAGGATGGAGCATTCACAACTTCCCTGGGCAAGCAAATGTAATGGATTTTAATATTAGAGTTCCAGTCATATGAAGTGGATTTTCTAGGACATGTAGCCAGAGCTTGCAAGAAAAGGCTCTGTGGATGCATAATTGGGGTGACAAGCGGCTGCTATCTGAAGCATCAGACAAACTATAAATCCACAGGATGGTCTTCTACAAGGCAAATATTCTGTCTGTTTTCACGTACATATCCATAGATATGTATATGTGGGAAAACTATTTATTTTCCCTCACTAATGTGATGAAAGACTGCAGGAGTATCTGTCCAAAAAGACAGGCAGGAGGGGAGCTACCAATGCTGGAAATGTTTGCTGGTCCTGAATTTCATTGCAATACAGATTTAAGGATCCTTACCTGCGGGCCTGCTGAAGCCAAGAGTCATCTACAGGAGGGGGTGCAGGGGTTGAGACAGTGCTAGTGCTAATATCACCAATGATTGCTAAAGCCTCCTTTAGTGCTTGGTACATGCGGAGCATTTCATCTCGCCTCTGTGCCTGTTCAGCCGACTCCTCCATTAGAGTGTTTTGGTCCTCAGAAGAGTACAAGTGAGCCAGGAGCTCTGCGTTGATAAATTCTTTTACCTATTTTGTCCGACAAAAAAAAAACCAACACCAAACAAATAAACAAAACAAAACAAAAACAACAAAAAAATCCAAACCCTATTAAAAATACAATACTGAACAAATAAAGTGTGAGAGCCATGAAACCAGGAGACATACCTCCATTTAATCAGTTTCTTCTACTACCTTACAACAATTCTCCTGGTCATGCAGTTTTTGTTAGGTCAGATCAGGGACTAAAATATGCTGAACTCAGATTGAGTTTATGGTCCAGCAGCCTGAGGTCTAGCTGTGGTCCAGGGAAAGGCGGGCACGTGCAGCTGGCAGAGCAGCTGGAAAAGGATGGACTGGACCTTTTAGCAGCTGCCTGCACACAGATGGGCTTAACGCAATTAGGAGGCTGCATTCTGAGACAACTCACATGTGAGGATATGATGGCTTTGTGCAGTCACTTCACAAGGTGCTGTGGCCTGTTTTTTTGTAACTGTCTTTGAAGCACTGGACATGGTGGGAGTTAACACTGGTCTACCTCTCTATGGTGACACTTATGTTTACAGTTCATTTCAAACAGGCTTCCCAACAGTGCCTAGGAGTCAGCTGGCATTTTGGTCCAATTTTAAATGGCTGAGAGGTAAATAGCAGCCATCTATGATCAGCAATACCATCAGATACTAAATTCCCCTGGGAATGGGAATTTTCAGGCTTTATAACATCCCTGTCAATTAGTTTCTTAGCAACAATTTACCCTACTGTAGAGGGTGTCTTTCATCTACAACAACTTTGTCAGATTATAAATATCCCATCCACACGCATTCAAACTGAAGGGAGAAGTCTCCAAGTAATCTAATTTACTATATTGATTTTCTGCTATGCTCTCCTGGTTATGGAAACCTGGGCCACATTAAGAGAGATAAAAAGCTAGAGGTACTCTGATTGAGTAAGACTGTGGTAAATATACCGACTGCTGACCTACTAAATCCTTGCATTTGAGACTTTCATTGCTGTTCTGATCTATTTCTCATCTGGCTTTTTGCTCTATAAAGCTTCTTTGAGCTGAAGATACTAACGATAATACATTCCCAAGATCCTGATTATATAAACCTGAGCTCTGTTTGCCCATGTTTGTGCTAGTTCAGCAACACAGATTTAAATTCTGACAGTTAGACTAAGGCAATGTTTGTGTTCAGACAAGGTCAATAAGAGCAGTCAGACTGTGTGGGCATGGGACCCTTTATGGTCACCCGGCATGAAAAGAGGGCCAGGACAGAATTTACAGGGAACTAAAACCATATTGCCTGGGCTTGGCTGTCATTTCCCATTCATGTATGACAGGAGATGCACAAATTCTTAGCAAAGCCTGCAAAAATTTTCCATGAGTCTCATGCTGTTTTCCAGTAGATGGTACTGATCAAGAGCCAGAGTACACTACTTTCCTCATGATTGCCAAAAACTCCACATTAAAAACAGATACCATAGTTAAACAGCATCACATTCTACTTGATGAAACGAGCATTTTAATGGCATCACTTCAAAAAAAAGAAGTCCTAAAATTAGATTAAGGCCAGAGCTGATTGTAAAAGCATTGTTAAACCACAAATATCTGTTTGAAAAAAATCAGCCTGTGACAATTATCATGAGAGATTCCTGTCTGCCACTAGCAGGAACACTTGTGGAAGGGGAAGACTGCTGTGTTAAGGATGGTTCCTGGATCAACCTCTTGCCTTCTGCAAGCAGATACACTGTACTACACAGAGGAAGATCTTCCATAATAGCTACTTTCTCTATTGTCTCCAGCTTGGAAAAGGAAGGGAAAATGACACTTACTCACACCTTTGCTTTTTTCTAGAAAACAGACTCACAGGAATGGTTTAAAACATTTGCCTTTGCAGACATCAGACCTGCAGTCAAAGCCAAACCATCGCAAGCATCTGAGACGCTAGTGCCAGAAGGCCAGCCCTGTCACACTGAAGTGGGGTAAGGTGGGCTTGCAGCCTCATTCTTCAGTGGGCAGGCTACAACATATATCACTGCCTCAAATGCAAACACAACCCATTCCTTAACCTTCAGTTTGGCAGTAGCAAGTACTTGGGAGTTTTTCTACTCAGATGAGATTGATATCAGCACTGCTTACAGTGTATAATACACTGTCTGCTGTAAGACCACCCCTCATGAATAATCTGCAATACCTAGGCACCATGAAATACAAATTCTGAAATGTGTGTTTTGTTTGTGCATGTTTGAATTGCTAATGGTAACTCAATGCAGTTCTGTGCGGTAAATGTATTTTCTTTTAAGGTAATCAACATCCACCCTAAGGGAAGAATAATGGATGCATTTGAAATACAACAATTTAGGCTTAGGCATCAAAATATGCTTAGGGACAGCATCTAATTATTTTCTGTACACTGAGTTTGAATCTGATACTTCCCTGGAATTATAAGTGCTCATTTACAGGCCCACAAAGTGGAAAGGAAGTTCTAGCAGGACTTGGGAGGTTACAACTGTCATGGAAATAAACTCCATGGGCTCAGTTTCTTTCCAGAGTTTTGGAGGCAACATGATGGGGCAGCAGAAAGTTCAGAATATCCTCATTAAGGGGGAAAGACGGGGAGAGAGGAGGGGTGTTTTTACTTAGCTCCTGGTGAATGAGTTGGACTTCTGAAGACTCCAAGGAACACACACACAACTTAACAGGACCCACCTTCTGTCACAGCTCCATTGCTTTCCAAGTCTTTGTACAGCCTTTTGGCATGGCTCAGCAGACTTAATTCAAGCATTTCTTTCTCTTTTTAGTCGTGCTGATTTTTTAAAAAATTGATGTTTAGCTGTTGTAAAATACGGTATTTTACTGCTTATGCCGCACAGAAAGAAGTGCACTCATGCTTCTAGTGTCACTCTTCACAGACTTTTAAAATGTTTCGGTTCTTAGCCACAAATTTAAATTCTAGTATTGAGGTGCAGGTCTTAGCTCACTTGCAAGCCCAAACACAGCTATGGACTATGAGGTCGACTGAAAGGTGGATGATGTTTTAAGTCGGTTGGTTTTGTGTGGCATGGTCAGCCTGGCAGACTTTACCGGTGTAACTAGCAATATTCTGCTTCTGAGTAGAGCACACTCTTCAGAGACCCTTAAACTATTCCATATGAGGAGGTGAGTGGCAGAAAATTTAGTGTAAACTTTCAAAAGGAACTACTTGCCAAACTGCAGTTTATGAAATACGAGCTAAAAGCCAGCCCTTTCAAAAGGCACTGGAGTTGCGCTAAGTCAAAGCAGCAAGTTGCTAGCTGTGATCTGGAAAGACCAGAGAGAACACAAACACCCTATAAAGTCTAGAGCATGGCTGATTTCAGGGAAAAAAAGGGCACTTCCGTTGTTCCAATGCTCTTTTGTAAAAAATCACCAACAAGCAGAGCATTATTTAGAGCCTGACTCCCCTAAACCTAAAGAAGTTAATAGAATATCTCTTGCCCTCATGCAAAAATTCTGCTTTTAGTATATGTACCAGGAAGTCCCATTGAAATTTCCAATCCAAGCACCTAACACTTTAAGTACAACACAGATTCCACAGGGCTAATGAAATCCATCAGATGAAGGCTAGAGATGGCTCTGAGTCGAAAGGAAATGCTACTTTTTAGCCAGATTTGCTGTATAGTATATTGTAATTGTAAAGACTGATTGGTTTGATGACCTCACAGAAAAGGTGCTACCCATAACTAACGGGAGCTGTGCTCCCCATTAGAAATTTATATGTCAGCAGTGGCACCAATAGTAAGTTTAGTTTTCAGTAAGGGCAGAAACTGATTCTGACTCTGCCAGAAACTGGCAGAACTCTGAAAGAAAGCAAGGGCTGATATCCTCATGCGGTGAAAAACCAATAATCTCAAAACCATTTCTTTAACCGAATAATCTTCAGATCTAAGAGACACGCACAGAGTAAATCAACCAACCACATCTGCTTATCTAAGCAGCAGTTTCCAAAGCTTCTAAATTTATCCCTTAAAAATGGTAACCTGAAAATATAAAGAAACCCGAATAAAATAAGAACTGTTTTAAGAAACCATGACAAAGGGCTGCAAACTGAAAATCAAGGAAGTAGGACTCTGCTCTCATGATTTCAAGGACTGCCTAGATGGGGCTCCCAACTCCCTTTTCCTATTATATCAAAAGCAAGACCGAAAAAACCTGACCCAAAACCCACCAAACCCAAAGATCATTGATTTACCTTTAAATAATAACATATATTCTAAGATGTAAATTAACTGCATCGTTAGCATTTTGGAGTAAGCACTCACAGCAGTGTGACAGCCTCTGAGAAGGCTGCAGAACTTCCTACTGCTGTGGAATACTGGAGTATTTTTTCTAAGAGTGTGACATCTATGGGAGTGTGTTCTGTTTAGTACATGCTGTTGTTGCTGCTGTATTCAAGAGGTATGTTTGAGAGTAAGGAATTTGACAGACATGATAAAATAATTTAGAACCCTGGCTGCTACTTACATTATTGATCATAAGGTGCATGATTGTTTTCGGTATCAAGTCGCGGATACATTTGTTGATAATCGACATGTAGGAGTCCACAAGATTTCGAATTGTCTCCACCTGTCTCTCCAGCTGGGGGTCCATTGAAAAATTGTCTGCTTGGCCATTCTCATCGTTTTCAGTCTACATAGAAGAAAAAAAGTCAAGTCTTTCAGACTGCAGTAAACTGGAAATATACTGGGGGGAAAATGGACTTAAACTGTAGTAATCCAGCAACATAAATCACACAAAGAATGTCTGGAGGTTAAAATATGAAGTACTGGCCTGTTTAACGTTAGCATTTACCATCATGAAATTTGGACCTTAAAGGTTAATGCAATACAAGATATAAGACCTTTTTCACAAATTACATTATATATTTCCACACAAATTTGTAATTTTATATGAAAGAAAGTCTTCAGACAGAGAATGAAAATAAAACCCCAAGAAGTGTCTTACATCACTTGCTATATTATTTATTATAAAATCTTTTGCCATTCAGATTCAGACAGCTTGACTTACTTATGCAAGGAAAGCAGCACTGCAAGTCTGGATTTCGAATTTTACCCTCCTATGGGTAAAACCCATCCTTGTTACTTAAGGCTGACTCAGTTGTGACAAACTCCACAGTTCAGCCTCAAACTTGTTAGATGTGAATAGCACCTATATAAACAAAGGATTTATGAAGGATAAACTACAAAAGGGTCACTGGTTCCAGTGCTGAAGGCTCAGCATAACATCGGCTGGATTATATATTAGAGATCTCTTTTTCATAGGACAAAAAAAATACTTCTTTGTATGTAAACAGTTGACCTAATTAAAGAAAATACCAGGAACTAACTGAAATCTAAAAGGTATGTACCCTGCTTTGCTCTGACCTCTATAAACATGAGAAAACCTAAAAAATAATAGTAGCTTTTTGGTAAAAAATCAAACTGCTCTCTAAGGCTCAAATATGCCAAAATAATGGAATTTCAACCTGGAAAGTACAAAGAACAATGTTCTTTCCCAAAACATTGACATTTAATACTTCTTCCTGAAAATAACCACCAAAGCCATATTAGCATTAACAATAAAATATAAACCTGTTCTCTTGGTACCTAGAAGCATAACATGAAGAAACACTTGAAAAAGTGAATTAACCGGTAACAAGAACTAGTTATATACCAGTGAGATCCCTGTCAGCACAACTCCATTTACGCTATAGCATTTAGCTAAAATTTGCACATCACTAGTGCTTTACAGTTTCCCAGAGCAGTTGAAATTCGTGAAAGACCGTGAGAGCTAGATATGCAACTATATCACCAAAGAGGCTCCTCCTTGCATGAAATGAATTCTTGCTGGGCCAAAAAGAGATTCCTAGTTTTATCTCCTAATACAGGGTGTGTTTCTGCCCATGCAGCAATGGCAGGTAGACCACTTTGCATTTTACCCCTTGTAAACTATGCCTTGATCAGTCCAGTCTAAATGAAGTGGCGATGGCTGTAATTTGTTAAGAAATAAGATCCAATGTACCATTTAGAAGCAAAACTAAATATATTTAGCAAAGTTTCAAAAGTTCAGATTGCTTTTTATGACAGAAAAATTACCGGAAAACCATCTAATCTTTAAAAATAATTAGCAGTGCTACCTAAAAATCTTGGAACTGTAGAGGACACGCAAAGAACTCTGGATGGAAAAATAGTGTTTTCAATTCTGTAACATTGGTAGACACACTACCTTATAAACCTTACTCATTTCATTAATAAACTGCATATGCCAAAACGTCACAGCATGTAGATTGACTGTTTTCCTTAGCCTCCATGTCTGAAAAGAAACTAACTGTAACTTTCCCTGTGAAATACCGAATAAATGGAAAATCACACATCTGTCATATATCTACAGATTTTAGCCAAGTACTGCAGACTGAAAATGCCCCTTCCTAGTTCCCCTGCATTTGACTTCTCTTTCTTTTCTTCTTCTTTGTCTATATAAAGTACAGTTTGTCCATGTACTTTTTTTTTCTTCACTGTTTAAATTACAGATTGCAATAGGATTCTTAGCTGGCTAAGCAGCAAAGTGACAGATGTTTATCATTATCTTCATCAAGAGAATGTAAAGTAAAAATAGTAATTTGTCTGATCTTTAAGGCAAAGGGTAATAGTCTCTTGTTTGAAACTGTAATAGAACTGACTTCATACTGTTGATTTATTTTCTCTGAAATCAAAAAAAATCAATCTTTCATGAGTTTACAGTAATTTATTATGAAAGCTTCTGGCCATAGTATTCTTAATGATTTGATGTCTCAACTGAAGGCTTTTCATGCCAGAAACCATCTTGTTTGCATCGCATCATGCACATGGAAATCTGCTTCTAACAGATTTCTGTGCTCTCCAGTATACCTACAAATGTAGGTGTTATCAGGCTTTCTTCTGTAAGCTGTCTCTGCACTGTGCCAACAGCAGCATGTGAGAGTAAGGTTGCCTGATGAGGCTGGGCATCATAACAAGACAGTAGTGATGTAGACATCCTATTCCATCTCCATGCCGTTCTTTCAGAACAACTGGGTTTCACACTGAGCATCACTGTGACTCTAGCTTCAGTGCAAGCCACCCCTCAGCCCAAGACCCTGCCACTCTGCATTTTAGAAGGGCTCTTGCAAATCTGTGGCAATGAATAAACCCAAACCAGAATACGTAAGAAAACACTCACATTTCTCTGACTCCTGTTGAACAGAATGTTCATGCTGAACAGAAAAGAAGAACAAAGAAGGTGGAAACAGGCTTCTGTTTCTCCTTTCCCAATAGCCAAGGCAGCTACTGTCCGACTCCTTTCAGTGCTTCCCATCCTCAAGCCAGAACTTGCTAGTTCCAATCGCAAGTGCTAAGTAACAGCGTATGAATCTGGGCTAAGTTTTTGTTTGGTTGACTCTTGCTTAAAACTGCTATTAATTGTTGACAGGGATGGAATAATATTACTTCTAACAAATACAACTGCCATTACTTTAGGAACTTTTGCAAGTCTCCAACAAAGAAAGTATGGAAGAATCTAGAGTGTTAAAAAACAGGTAAAGAAAATTAGATTCATCTTGGAAAATTCAAACTCAGAAAATCTGATGAAAATACACCAAAGATAGAGAAGCGATAGGTGAAAAAAACACGGACGAAGGGAAGGTAACATGGAAACCAGGATAGTGCTTCCATTTATATACACATACCCTTTGCCACAGAGAAGAGATTCTTCTACTTTCTCTGTACTTTAGGAAAATGAGAATAATATCCATTCCTTGCACTCTGTCTTTCATAAGTTGTTTTGAAAGTTTGTTGAACGACTTTTCATAAGTTGTTCATAAGTTGTGATCCTTGCATGGAAAAATGCTAGTAAAACACAAGGTATGTGTCATTACTACTCTTCTACCTTTCCCGAGTTTAGATACATTCTGCACTATGAATGTATTAAGGATTAACTAAAGTGTCATACAAGAGAAGACTGGAAACTGCATGTGAAATCTAAACCACTTAAGTTTGTGGGAACTTTACTTCTGGCTGCAGTGGGAATACGGTTTTACCCTACACATGCATTTGTACCACAAAAGTTATCGGTCTTCTGAAGACTATAAACTCTCTACTGCAAGAGGAATGATTCAGTGTGGTACAAAGGGGTGCAGGCACAAGGAATTGTGTGCGATCAAAAAACCAGAACAAAACAAAATCCACACAAAAAAAAACCTACCAAAACCCACCAACAACAAACCAAACAACCAAAAAAGGAATTGTGCTTCAGGATAATCTTCCTGATAGTGGGAACATGCATTTTGAAGAAAGACCCCAAAAAAATCCAGGAAAAGTGGTTCCCTTTGAAATTCACAGCAAAACTGGGTAGCATACTGAAAACAGTCCTGAGCTGGCCACACAGAGAGTGCAATACTTCTAATTTCCATGATTTCATTACATTCAGGGCAGCTGCCAGCATATTTAAGAATGTCTTGTATAACATTCCTGATGTCAGTTCCAAGAAGGAGCATTTGCCTAGCATTTTCATTAGAGAAGTGTATCAACCAATTTTATGTAATCAAAAAGGCATTCTATTAAAACCGACTGAGAGGAAGCAGACTGGAAGGTGACTGAAAAAAGGGTAAAAGTCAAAGCAGTGGTAAAGAAATGCGCTGTATGCTAAGAAACATGTTCATGGCTGCAGCAAGAAACCAGCTGCTTTCATATCTTTAATTTACAGACGCAAGTTCATAAGAACAACCACCACCTGAAAAGTAATTATTCCATCCAGAATATATTGATATTTTAAGTCACAGCTGCTGAATATATGATCTGTTTTATCTATTCGTGTCCAAGTAAGGTTTTTCTTTAATGTACCAAAACAGTGCACAGCATTAGTCCTACCCCTGCCCCGATTTTTCCTAAATCTTTAAAACTGATTATTGATACTCTCTCTTCATTGCAGTTTGATGCTGTATATATAATTTAGCTAAGACATTCTCAGCTGTACATAGCGTGCCTTTTGCCAGAGGACTGCTGAAACCACATGATGGCTTCACACAGTGAGGTTTTCTTACTGAAAGGAACCACAAGTAAATGACAATACATTACTTTTGTGTATTTACAACAAAGCAAGCAGCAGAAAAAGAACATTTCCTGGGTAGCTTGGAAGCTGTCCTTTTCCCTCACAGAGGGTGACTTTGCCACTCTCTTCCATGCTTCAGCATCTCCTGACTTTGTACTGCTGTTGTCTTTACGGAGCCACCCACAGGCTGCCCCTTTCAGCTACTATGCTTTCATCAGCAGCCTTGAACTGCTCCAAGCAGAGGTTATGATCTGGCCTTCCCTTATACATGTGATCTGTCTCACTTTATACCCATGTAGAAGAAAGATATAGCCTAGTTAAATTTGATTCAAAAGTATTTAACTCCCTGGATTAGCTTAAACAATCGTCCATTCAGATTCTTCTTTGTGGCTACAGACATCGTATAGTACAGATCATTAGCTAAAATCTTCTACTGAATCCACATACTGCTCCACAGATATTTACATAGCTTTAACAATCCCAAACATCCAGAATCTATGTTAGGCTCTCTCCCTGTCTTCTTCAATCAAGAAGCTGATTTGGAGCTAAGAGACTGAAAGGAATGATGTGAAAACTCCGACACATTT